TTGTCCTCAGCTTCAAAATAGATCTCTTTCTGATTCACTCTACATGTCAGCTGGATATGAATGCAAAGCCAAAAAATGAAAAAAGTTGTCCTCTGCGCAAGGGCTCTGAGCATCACATCCTGCCCACAAAACAAATCCCCTCAAAAAATATAAAATACAACATAAAAAAGCTAATCACAAATACTGCCATCAAAGAAAAAATATGAAAAAAAGACAAGTTCATGATCCACCACATTTGCTTTTAAGGAAGTCACTCATAAATGACTGACAAATTCATTACAAACGAGCAAGCTTCAATTAATCATAAACTGGCCAACAACCCAATACATGCATCAATTCCAGGCCCTACCAACTCTACCCTTCTTCCAAGTCACTTCCCTTGCCCATAAAGAGACATTCCACTCACATCCCCTGTATCGGCAATGCAAAGAATTTTATATTAACAATTCTTGTCTTCTTACCCTTACCCAAGCTGTTTATTGTTGGTTTTGTTTCTTCTCTTGTGTAACCATAAGCATATTTATAAAATTTTTCATTTAGAGTTACTTTAATATTCTTCTGTATTAAATTTTTTTCCATAAAAACCAATGCACTAATGATCAACATTATTTTTGTGTAATCTGTATTTTTGTTTTGATCAAATGAAAAGAGTATAATGAATTTTTACCACACATTTTATCCTGAAATGTAACATTTTAATTTCACTTAATTTAAAGAAATAAATTTCTTCAGTCTTCATTCACTTTTCACTGTCATAATGTAGCTTCCCAGTGCCTTTCCTATAAATATTTTCATCATAATTGTTCGGATGAACTTTCCTTTACCTAGACTTTATGAATTTAAGTTCAGTACTAGAGTGGTGGCAAGGTCTCACCATTTTCCAGTTGAAATGGCTAGCTGTAACCATAAGTTCAATGCTGTAACAGAGATAAGTATACACAGACACACCTACATGTATGCACACATGCAAATATAACTTTTATTGACTGGAAATGGAAACGGTGTTTATATATCAAAGTACAATTTGGGTTAAGATGTGTGTTTACCGATGAGAAACACAATCTCAGGGCAGGAGGCGATATTTTAAACCTGGGTGACTAGTAAACAATGGGGATGGGTGAGATACTTGGTTTTGTTTAACAGTATTTGTTTTGATTAAAAGTTTGAATCAATGTTTAGATATCCCAAAGTATAATTTTGGTGAAGCGAGAAGAACTCGTGATTGAGATAAGGTAAATAATTGGAGAATCGGTTTACATGTCAAGAGATCATCTTTGGCACTCGTGGTAGCTGTGTGCCGGGCTGAGGGTCAATTATGATCAGCTGATTCTTTTTCTATATTAACTTGAGATTTTACTAATAAAGCAGAGTCGGGGAAAGAGACTGTAGTTGCAGTGAGTTGAAAGATTTGCAGGAGAATTTTGGAGGAGAGAGAGAAGACTGCCCCCTGTTCTGAGAAGTCTGTATGAGATGGGACTATTAGTCATAAACCTACCCCAGGTGATTCAATACACATTTATCACACACAAACCCTCTCTCTGTTGGGAATTTGCTGGATGCATTTTGTCTTTTTCTTTTCTCATTTATGTTAAATGTCTTTACTCTCCCTGTAACCTCTGTTCTGATGTTATCTTCTTATATAAAAGACATCAATATTTCCCCCATTGTTGTCTGACTATTGCAGATATTATTTCTCGTTTTATTTTGCCACATTCTAAACTTCCTAGTGACAACACTCACAGCCGTGTCCACATCCCCAGTCGACCGTGAACGTATGGACAACACCCCGCTTACTGGATCTAAAAACTAACACAGCGTGGGCAGCGAGCAGGACTTGACCAGTTGACGGTCGAAATAATCTCGGGTACTCAGGGAGCGTCACGGCCAGTTACCCCTAAGTTTGGTTCGGACCGAGTGGACACCTCAACCCAAAGAGGAAGGTCCCAGAGGTTGAGGGGCTGGAGACGAAGTGGTAGAATGCTAACAGCTTCTGTTAATATCAGCTTTACAAATGTAAGTACAGTACTAGATTGGCAGCTAGGTCTCATCATTTAACAATTGAAATGGCTAGATGCCACCATAAGTTCTATGATAACAGCTTCTTTTCTCATACTTATCGCTTGTGGAACTCTCTTCCAGCTTCTTGCTTTCCATTCTAGTTTGATCTTCAAAAATTTAAATGTCAATTGTTATCTTCTGTCTTCTTAATTCCTTTTCTTTTATTGTTCTAACTCCATAATAATGTTTTCCATTTTCTTATATTCTTTCATGCTCAGTAACCCCTATGTCTTAGTGGCTTTATTGCTTTGCTTTGGATAAAATGATGAAAATAAAATTAATTTACCTGATTTTTTTCTAGTCTTCCTTCTTACAAAAGTTGCAAAGTTTCTCCCATTGTGCATTTGGGTCTTGGTGCCACATTTTCTATAATCTTTGGAAGTTTAATAGGAGTATATAGGTTTGCTTATCGTCTGGTTCACACCCCACCCTGGTTTTTTGAACAGGAGTAGAGGTTTATCCCTTGTTCCCTGTTTAGGACTGGGTTTCTGGTTCACTTCTAAAGTCTACGTGAACTCTTTCTAACATCTCTGTTAACATTATTCATTAATTAAATCTTGACCTATAGTTAGCCATTATTTTTCCAGCTCCAAGAACTTCACTTCTTACCCTTTCTTATGCTAATACAACTCCACACAGTAACCTTCTACCTTGAGTGGCTCTCGGGCCTTGTATTGGGTGAACATTATTAAAAAAAATATCACTTGTTAGCTATTTAAATTTCTGTGCTAGCATGATTTTGACATCTCCAATTCATAGCTTGCATCTCAGACTAGTAAAAAATATTAAGGGTTAATTATTATTAATATTAACTGTAAGAAGATAGAATGTGTAGTTGCCAGCAAAAGAGGTAGCCTAAAGTGTAAGCTACATATTGGGGATATCAAAATGAAGCAGCTACAGAAATTTAACCATCTGGTTAATGTAGTGATAGATGATGGAAAATGCAACATGGAAATCTGAAAGCATGTCAGAATAACAAAAGGTGTCTTCCATAAACTAATATATTAAGAGATAGAAAAATATAATTAGAAACAAAGAAAATGGTGCTGAACTGCTGTATAGTATCTGATCAACAATTCTTAATTTCACACATGCAACAACAATTCTTAAAAATATTATTGGAAAGGGTACAAAATTTTATTAAAGCGCTAAAAATGAATACGTTAAAGCAAGAAGAATAAAGAGTGGAAACAAAAAAATAACATTCTCGTAAAGTTATAATATTGAATGCAGCACAACTAACAAAAAAAGACAGCTAAACTGGCTTATTAGTCCTCTTTTATTGAGATTCAACCAAGGATGAGAAAATGTTCATAGCAAAAATGAACACCAAAATCCAAATGATATATAAATATATAACTTACAGGTTAATTACTTTTAAGCCTACCCACCACTGCTCACAGAGAGATGGCTGGTAGGACTTAATGTAAACTGATTCTAACACCCTCAAATGAAATTAAGAATTAGCCTTCCTCAGTACTGAAAACATGTCATGGTTGTAAGTTCAGGCACATTGCTAGATTTCAGTAAATGTTCAGTTATCTAGTTGTATTCAAACAACTATACAAATTATCCACTTTGCCCTTGCAATCAATCAACATGTACCAGGCAATATTTGCATATTCAGTATACAATTAATTCACTAATAAGTACTGAAAATTTTGTTGAATATTCTGTTTTTTTGGCCATTTTTTGAAAAAATGGAGTCATGATTTTTTTGCTTTCATTTTCGAAAAAAATGTATCCATCTACTTTTTATTTTCTTCTGGTTTATGCATCTAATGAAGCATGAAAATGGATTGGCTAAAAGGAAGTGTAATTAAAAATATGAAGGGAATGGGTTGTCTGAAAAAAATAGTTAATACCTCTTCTTAACGTTAGGTCTAACTTGTCATTGGCATGTGAACCTCTGACCCAGTGTTTCTCAAATTTTTTTTACCCATGGACCACTTTTGCTCATATTTTTTTTTTTTTTGTGGATCTTTAACCATTCAATGAAAAAAAAGCTTATTTTATTTTTTACTAATAGATAAATTTAGGAATTGTATTATAGAAATAAAAGTATATGCTTTATTTTGAAATAAAATTAATTTACTGAAAATAAACTTGTATTTGACAACTAAATTCTATGGAACATACTAATATACACTTAGTAAAATAACTCATAAATAAACCATGAAATATGTGATTAATTTAACTTCCAATTTGCTATTTTTTGTATCAACCACAGTAATGTTACATGGTCCTCCAGAGGTCATATGGACCCCAGTTGTGAACTTCTGCTCTAACCGGCTGAAGTGTACTCTGTAAAAAGTTTTCTCTTGCGATTTTAAAAGGACACCTTGCTACAAACAAACTGACATTTGATAACGGTTAGTGAGCTAGTCTGGTTCGATCCCCATTATTAGTAGCTTGTGCGACAACTAAATTAAGCGTAACAACTTAGCGAGCTAGTAAGGTTGACCATTGTTACTGAGTTCGGTGCTCACACTTGTGCAAAAAAAAAAAAAAAAAGAAGCTAAGCTTGGTAAATGTCGACAAAAACTAAAAAGACGCGTGTCTGGATTAATACATGTATATACCAGCATTGGAGTGTGTGAAATCAAGAGCAGATAACTCATCCTTTCCCAAGGGGAGATAATTACTCCCGAGAGAAAGAAGAAGAGGAAAATAATATCGCACTAGTAATTAATAATGGACGTTGGTACCAAAGCGACCGGATAATTAATAATAGAAACAGAAAAGGCTTTGCCGTTTCTCGTGTCTTTTAGGCTGATTTCTTCAGTCCAGGCTACCAGTAATTTCAGAAGATTTATTAACTATGGGAGTTTCTTTGTTAAAACCAAAAAATTATCTAATTAGAAATATTTAAATATTTACGATTGTTGTATTTTTAAAAATGAAATTGAAATGTTAGTCGCCTCGTATTATTGTTTGCAATGGTGAGTATTTTTATTTTATTTATTATTCAATAATTATGAAGACAAAAGAAAAGTTTATGCATTTCTTGCCTCTTTTATTCCCCGAAAAGAAATTGATGTCCGTGGTTTCGTTATCATTTTCCTTAAAAGCTAAACAAGATCTCAAAAAAAAAAAAAATATATTTTCTTTTCTTTTTTTTTTCCTGAAAAAAAAAAAACAAAAAAACTCAACAACTAAAAAACAAGAAAATAAATAGCAGATTCGTGATGTAAAGCAAAAATCTGTTTTTTTGTTTTCTGTTTAGCGATTAAAAATAAATTCATTTGCACTTTACATAAAATTGTTATTACTGTAAAATTCTATTTATTAAATCTTCGGGTACCTCTGAAAAATTCTGACTGACCCACTTTCTGAAAATACGGATGGCTAACCATGCAACAATCAGATTTCATTTATTTGATCACGATGTTCGAACAAGCATGAATAAATTGTATTTATTTTTTATTATTATTACTCTGCCAATTCGTAACATAAAAAAAAAAATTCCCGTATAGTTACATGTAAGCGGTTTGGAATGAGCATTCTTTTTATTATTATAAAAAAAAGAAATATTCGAAGAAATTGGATCAAATTTTTATGTTACGATTGGCTATCCATAAATACAAAGAAAGAAAGAAAAAGTTCAAATTTCATTATAATGGTATGGTACCACTGGTATTTTAGAGTTAAAAAGTATTTTATTTATTTATTAGAAGACTAGTCTATTTTTATATATTTACATAAATATGAGTTTGTTAACAAAATGTGTATATTATAAAAACACTTTATAATTTATTAAGAATAATTTATTATTATTCTCAACATGATCTTCCTAACTTTTTGAGATTAATTTCTAACAGCAGAAACACGTGTCAGTATTTGTTTAATTTTTTAATTAGGTAAGAAATATTTGTGTAGACTCAGTCATTTGCAATTTTACTTAACTATGAACTTGGAAGAAACCTTGCCTTTTTCTTTTTTTTTTTTTTTTTTTAGAACTGATATAAGTTTTGCTTGAATTTTAATTTTAAAAAGACATTTGAAGTCTGTTAAATAATATTTTTAACCCCTTGTATGCACATTGTGAACACACGATAGGTGAAGTAACTACTACATTTGAAATTGAAAACAAGAAAATTAAAATGAAATATTTTTTAGTAACCACTTCTGAAAGAACAGTTTTTTTTTTTTTTTTTTTGGTGGCGGGAGGGAGGGTTGCTGCGAATCATCCACAGAAAAAGAATTATATCTCAATAGAATTGTAATCAGCAAGAGATCATGGAAATTTCAATAAAGGAATATGCAGAATTAGTGATAAGTTAATGAGTTTTGCTTAAAAATTGTAAAATAGAACAAAAACACCAAACCTTTGTATAATTGGGTCAACATCAACCTGGAAGGATTAAGCCAAATAAGCCGAGGTCACTGTGACCACCGTTTGTCTAATCCAGTCAAATTTTTGAGCAGGTGATTGGTGTGAGGCTACATTGAGATGACCTGTCTCCATAGAGTATATGGGGTGGGCCAAACAGGGTTTTTTTTCTTTTAAACATTTTTATGCATTTACATTTATTTATTACAATTACATTTGTTTAACACTGTTTAATCTAGTAAATGCTTGAAATGTCCTCCTTCAACCTTGTAACATGTCTTGAACTTCTGCAGAACACTGTGACACACATTATGATCTGCATCAATGTCAATAAATTCTTTTAATTCATCTACTGTGTGGGGGATTTTCTCATAAACCTTCTTTACTATGCCTCTACCAAAAAAGAAGTCCATTGGTGTTAAGTCAAGTGAATGTGGCGGCCAATTCAATGTTGCCATGTTGGCTGAGCCAACATTATGGGAAGGTTTTTGTCAAGTTAGTCCCTTACTACCAAAGTGAAACGAGTTTAATAGTAAGATAATTCCAAATCTTGGATCTCTGCTACATTTCCAGCCAAAAATTATTGACAGTAATAAATGTAATTCAAAAATTTGTTACAATGTGTTCGTGTATACCAAACATGTCACAAAGCTGTGATTTTTTTTTCCTCACCAAAATTGTGACTATTCTCTTGTTGAAAAACTGTTTGGTAGAGTTAAATCTGGTTCTAAATTATGGCACTACCATGTCACAAAGCATGTTTAAGTAAAAGTCACGTCAGTTTATAAATAAATAATCAACTATTTACATTATTTGGACTACTGTCCTCATCTTTATATTTATTACAACGTTTCGGCCTTCTTCAGGTGGTTGGAATGTTCCATGTTTTAAATGGATGTCAGTTCTCCACTGCCTTAACCGAATATTGAACTCACACTCTTTGGGTCCTGTCACTGGATCTAACTAATGCCTTTATCCACTGTGCCATGTGTCCTTGAGGACATCTGTGTATGAATTTCTGGGTATTATAAATCTAATGTCTTCAGAAAACTATTTTTACCAGTGCTCATATTGCAATTTTTGCTGTTATCATCCATGTTTTTACCAGAGCTCATAGTGCAATTTTTTTTTTGTTATTATCGCTTTTCTATGGCACTCCTTATTACTGGTTTCATATTGTATTCATTTCTATGCTTGGTCAGTTCAGGAGATTTTTGTGGCCTGCTGATTCATTAAGTTTACGAATTTTCCAATGGTGTCCTTTGTCTGTGATCATAGGACAGTTCGACATTCCAGCCACCTGAAGAAGGTTGAAGTGTACAACAGCCGAAACGTTGTAATAAATATGATGACAAAAATGAGGACAATAGTCCGAATAATGTAAATAGTGTGCATAATACATCATCTCAGAAATATAGACAGATACTGAAGAGCCAAAACGTAATAAATATGGCAACAAAGATGAGGACAATAGTCTGAATAATGTAAATAGTGTACATAATACCTCATCTCAGAAATATAGACAGATGTATAACCTTGTTAATCTCTATAGTATGTCAGTATCCCTAACCCTTAAGATGGTGTGAATAGGAGAAAACTTTGGTAAATTTTTACTCTTACATTCATGTCCCTTATTGACATAATGCGCACAATCAATTCCACCTTTACTTCACTGTCATTGACCAGTTGACTCCTTAAAGAGCGTAAAATAATAGTCAGGGACGAGATGAGTGTAATAGTAAAATAATACCAAATCTCAGATCTCTGATACATTTCCAGCCAAAATTTATCGACAATAATAAGCATAATTAAAAAAATCTACTATAATGGGTTCATATATTCCCTAGGGTTCAAAATGTATACCTACCCAAAATGGGTTCATGTATTTCCAAGCCAAAATTGTGACTTTATTACCAGCCACAATAAATTTATCCCACTTCAGGAATATCCCACTTAAGAGGGACACACATAAGCGTGACTTAAGGGTTCAAATGAAGAAAAGTTCCACTTATTGAATGTTAAAATACATAAAAAAGCACCCTTAGATACAATATAGTTTAAATGTCTATGAACAGCAGCTAAAACTAAAAGCATCTGACAGACTTATAACTTCGTACCTGCAAAAAGACAATGTGTCAAAAAGGACAGTTTTTCCCTTGACACTGCTATTAATTTAACTACCTTTACTCCTTTGTTTTAAAAAGCAATAATTAGAATTCTAATAAAATGAAAACATATGATGAAAGTGAATTTATACCTTTTTTTTAAGCTGAGTAAAAATTTCTGAAAATGTTTACTTGTGTATAATACAACCCTCCCCCCTTTGTTTGTCCTTAATTCTTGTTCAAGATTTCTCATGTCAGGCTCAAGAAAATACAGTACTTCCTCTTTTTACATTCATACAACATCAGTGAATAACACTCTACCTTTAGTGGCTCTTGATATGTAAGGTTGATGGCTGTTTGATCAATTCTCCTTCTGGCATGACATCATCATCATCATTGTCATTCTTGCTACTCTGTCCTTTATGGCAAACATGCAAAAAAATCACTTCATCACACACACACACACATATATATATGATGTCTATAGTAATATGAAATAATAATTAAAAATCCATTAATTCCTTAGAAATTACTTTGTTTCACATATGAAAATAAAGTTACCAGATATGGGCTTTGGAAAAATCTTAACAGGATAAGGTGCTTTCTTTCATAAGAGTCACTGAGCCTTACTTCACTATGAAAGTCCTTCATGACTAAGCAGTCTAAAAGGATTCCAGGCTATATGATGTGTTCTTTGGTGGAGGAGTGCATTTAACATTTGATATTTTTGTGGTTATCCATAAGGAATTGTAAATGTACGACTGGCTTATACTTAAATAAAATAATAACAATAATAATATTTATTACAGGAAATATCAAGTTTTACAGAAACATTGTTGACAATTATGTATTTAGCTACATAACAAATAAATAAAAATAATATAAATTTTGATGCTATATTCGATTTGTTGTTAGGTATTTTTCATTTTCTCCTTTGTTATTGACAGCATTTTAGAATATTTTGACTGCAATGCTAAGTTTCCTAAGTTAAAACAACTGGAGCTAATTCATTTATGCTTTGTTACCTCTCTTTTCCATAGTTGTTTTTAGATCGCTTTCTTCCAGTCATTTTGATGGGCAATAGCAAAATTTAGAATGATCTTATCCCATTTCAAAAATAAAGCCTGTAAAAAGGAATATTTTTAAATTAATTATATGACCAAAAATAAAATGCTTTTGACAAAAAACCTTAATGATTTCACTATAATTATGTAACAATAATGTAATAATATTTTGCAGACAAATCTACAGTTTATGTTACCCCATCTCATTGCATGGTTAAGAACTATAAACTTAAAATAAGCATGAAATATTGTGTAATTGGCTCTAATTTTTTGTAAAATACTTGGATATGATATAATGAATAATTTGCAGTAAAAAAGCAATTTCTGATTTTTTTTTTTTTCAATATGCCCCTTCCTCTGTCAAATGTGTCATATGGTTGTTTCCACCTATATAGTACCAGATTGACAGCAAGGTCACATCATTTTACAGTTGAATTGGC